TGATTGGCTTTGCACGCGGTTCGCGGGTCGGGGATTTTTTCGAGCGTTCAGGACTGGCATCTCTTCTTCGACTCTTGCTACGCGTTCGTGAACTGGCTCTTTTGGTGAGTCTAGGTACCGGTGTTGTACAATCCAATCTCGTCGGTGAACCATCAACCGAGATACTGGGATCCGTAATTGCGCTTATCGCTCCGGAAGCTTCCGAAACATTGTTGGTATTGGAAGCTTTGGCTGCCCGCATCGGGGACTTTTTGGTGTTGACAATCATTTTGGTTTTGATCTCTTTTATCAGTTGTTCCATTTCTTCTTTTGATGCTTTTTTCTTGTTTTTCAATTTCAGTTCTGTGGCTTTCACTGGGGCATCACTGAGCACACTCAACGCTTTATTATTGTTCATCTCTCCGGATGGATTGTCCAAAGTCGATGGACTACTCACATCGCTGACGCGTCGTGTGTTTGTGCGTGCACGATTCTCTTTCTCCCCGTCATTTGCCCTATCCGTAACTGGACCGCACGGGGTCGCGTTGCTCATCATTTCCTGTTTCTCTTCAGCATTATTCTGTGCGGTTTCTTTCATATTGCCCGGTTTTTTGGCACCCATCAAACTCCCACCCTCAGCTAATTCGTAGAAATGTCGACTATCCACAAAACTGGGATCCACCTTGACGAGACTACCCACAAGACGATCATTCTCCTCCTCTAGCATATCCATATTCTGTTTAGTCGTATGCACTTCCCGTAAGATTTTATCTTTTGTTTTCTGTTGTTCATCCAAACGCTCGTGGAATCGTTGTTCCAGTGTTTTTTGTAATTCCACTTTGGATTGTAAAAATCGAACCGACTCAGCTAGGACACTTAGGACTGTTTGAGCACGAGTGTAAATCTCTTTCAGTCGATCCCCAATATCTCCGGCTCGTCGGACCAGATCGAATTCCGGACGTTCGGACCAAAAGAAGATACGATCAATCAGACCGATATTTTCGGTCACTAATGGCATACAGTAGTTACATACTTGACCGAGCACCAGGCTAAAATGAAGTTGCAAATAGAACAAATCCCGATAGTAGTCCAATAAAGGTTTCACTTTGGCACGAACTTCCTGATGAATTTCCGAGATAGCTAGAGCAATATTATCGATCATGTGGGTCGGTGGTCTGGGTTCGGACATACTGGATGAACCGGCACCACCTTGTCGTTGGGCGATCATATTTTTACGCATTTGTGGTGATCGGCACAGGGCTAGGTGACGTACACTAGCACCAGATTCCAATGAGGCAAAACCCAAACTAGCCAAGTGATCGGCCAACAATTCGTTGTGACGTAAGCGGGCACCCAATCGGGATTCGGCGTCTTGCAATTCCATTTTCAATTCGGAGATTTCATCTTCGCCAATTTGTAATTGTTCTTGGACAAATTCTTTCGTTATTAGTCGGTTCTGTTCGTTTACCAGTCGGCGATACTCTTCCAGATGCTTATAGCATACAAGAAAAACATCCTTGGTCTGTAGGATGATACGTAATTCACCCTGGATGTTATTGGGATAGGTGGGTAACTGATCACTGATTGAGCCCAAGTTCATCATCACTGTGGTCGTATTCAGTGTTCCAATTCAGGACAGGACGTGTCAGTAACTAAACGAATCAATTTAAAGTGGATTAGTCTGTCCGTGTAGTGCTAGTGATGAAACATGNAACATGTGTTGCTCGTTCGTATCAGTCAGTCCCTGGCGTTGATAGTTGCACCCGGATGTCGATTTTCCTACTTCTAAACTGGGACGGAACTTGACCTCACGTACAATAATAAATTTACCGCTGGTGAATCCTCTGTAGGCAAGTAAATTTGAACAGCCGAGCCGCCGATCTGGCGATCGATATCAGAGTATCGACCCGCGTTGGTCGAACGAGCCGTGTGGTGAGCAGCACGTGGACAGTGCGAATGGCCATGAAGACACGATGACGGGTATGTGCACATTTTGACTTTTATTAGCATAAAAAGTCAGAAGTAAATGAATAAGTATTTATGAATAGTAGGATTAAGATGAATGTAGTTTTCATATTATTCATCAAACTAATGCTAAATGAAGATGGGGGACATTTAGAACGACAAAGAGACATTTTTGTATTGCTTATCTTCATTCCGGATACTAATTATGGAAAATGTAATTATTTAACAAACACATCGGATAATAAGTGAACTAGTTGATTGAAATATATTTCCCTTTCAATAATTTTCTCCTCATCGGAGTGCTACTTCAGAAACTTGACCTAAGCAATATGGTTTTTTACAACAGCTTGAACACGCGGACGATCTAGTTTCTTTTTCTTCCTGCGTGGTACTCCGGTTTGTGTGAAGCTAAAGAATTGGGCGTATTTCAGGGTCCGAAAAATGTAATTGTGATAGAAAATAGCATAAAAAGATATTTGTTTGCTAATATCTTACCATTGTTGTAGATTGCTGCTATGGTGCCAAAACATCTCCCAAAAGAATAGCCCCAGTTAATGTAATAACCCGTGAAAACCTATCAGCTTAAGTCGAAGTAAACTTATACAACATTGCCGCTTATTCCACCAAAGTTCTCCAATTCTGCTCACAACTTGACTTATTCTACACTCTACATTTTCTTCACGTCCGTTGTATAGAGAAATATTATATCGAGTCAAATGAACTCAGTGACATCTGATTTATTGGTCGAATTGTACTAAATGATCAATGTACATCCACGTTTAAGCGTAGAGTGTAAATATTGCTTATTGATGGCTAAGCGAGCCTAGGAGCCATCGCTGATATTTATTGGTGCATCGGATTAGAGGTTGGAGGGTTGACAGACAACTGAATTTTCTTGTAGAACGCTATTCTCTCCATGTTTTCTAGATCAACGCTGCAGCTATCTAATAGTAATGTTTATGTTTGGCTTAGACTGCCAATTTTTGCAATCAAGAAGTGTTTATTCGAATAGGGCCTAAAAGAAAGCATGCTTCAATTTTTTTGATGAATCTATGGATTCATAACCGAACAAAAAACTGGTTTTTATCTCAGGGTTATTGTTTTCTTACGGTACATTCAATTGAAATCGTGTGTTTTTTCGAATATAAAAAGAAGTGTACGGTGAAACACAAAACGTTTTGTTATCCCAGTTATCTATCATTTTCCCGTGTTTAACTATTTCACCCTCTTTCCAATTTGCTCTGTATCCTAAGGCGAGCGATGTTCGCCGAAGCAGATACCGAGTGGAAAAAAGCCAAGGGTGGTCAATTTGAGACCCGGTATGAGGGTATGAAAACTCTAACCAGGAGACTGGGTCACATAGGTCCTGTTATGCTCCCTGGCTGGGGACCTCGGGATGATCGTAACAGATGGTCAGAGACACTGAATGATATGGCTGGGTGTCGTAAACAGTGGCGTTCGTGCATCTTCTCAATTTCTTTGCAACCTTAGACCACTGAACTTCTCCATTTTCTGTTCTACTCCACTTTCAACTTTCCTTTCTTCTCCCGTTCTTCATCCCAATGGGCAGCCAAAAGATAGCAACCAAAACCGGCCCACGAATATGCTTGGTTATTGGTTGTACAAACTGAACTGAAACTATATCCCAATCCACCTGCCCCTGTTGTTGTTATTATTGTTGTGGCGTTCGCACCATGCTTGTCTACAAGTTAGTGTTAAATATAAATATATATTCGAACCCACACATTGATGCCGCCTACGCTTTGTACGTACATGCTCTACCAGCTGAGCTACGAGGTCACACCGATGGCACTGATCTTTTCACATTCGAATTTACCCATCCAAATTACAGAGGCATATGGCATCCACCAGTTAGCATGTAAGCTGATTGCCCTGACAGGTTTTCCTTAGAATTCACCGGAGTCCACCGAATGAGCTTCTAAGACAAGGTTAATTGTTCCAGTTGTTGTTTAGCAGATTTGAAGTTTGTATGTGGATTGTGAAAAGTTCAATAGTCGTATGCCTCTGTAGGCTAATGGGTAAAATTGGAATGTGAAGATCAGTGCTATCGGTGTGGCCTCGTAGCTCAGCTGGTAGAGCATGCGCGTACAAAGCATGGGCGGCGTCCATGCGTGCGTTCTAATCCCACCGAGGCTACTGAACTTTTCACAATCGATATACAAACTTCAAATCCACCAAACAACAATTGAAATAAATATGTATATCTTCATAGACAAGATTCATCAGCTCAACGAGCATCTAAACCTGTAGGGCATCAGATATTGTTACCCATTGCGATTGAAATTTTATGTGTAGATTTGCCCCTTGTGTCTAAAACATGCATACAAAATCCTACTTCAATTATTCTAATGCGTTGTTCGCATTCAAACATAACTTCACACGTCACTGTGCCTGTATGGCAATGCTGCATCTAGCACTCGCGGTGTTTTCTGTGTCGGGACTGCGTTGAGCGTCTACTTCTGAATTCGATCTCGGTCAGTACTCGACTGTGTGTACGATTCGACGGTTCAGTTCGGGTCAATAGCAATAGGACGAAGCATGTTTTGTACTTTAGATTGTGTTACTTTTGTAAACGTTGGAGCTTATATTTCAGTTATATAAGCTAGTCATACCAACGGTCACACAGGATGCGTTTAAAAGGGAAAAAGTTGTTTATAGATAAAATAGAGACTCCATAATCCAAGGTTACTCTCTGGTAAAAGTGAAAGATAGAGAGCATAGGTGAATTTCGGCAAGCGTTTAGATAGAATGTATCGGCATTCAGAGTGGGTGCAGGAATGAGAAGGACAACCTGTCTGTTCTGCTTGCAACGGGTGATTAGAGTTTGTGAGAATCCTTTCTGCAAATTTGACACAAGCAGTTGTATGATAATCTGAAAGTTCCAAAATTAACGCAGATATTGAAGAACCATAAACGGAAGGTTACAATGTAAGACTCTGAAATCTTGTTTTAGCAATCCAAAGAAAATAACTACTGAACAGAAAAGTAAGTTGGAAAAGATGCACTGATACACAAAGGTAGAAATAACTGACTGGGAAGCGCGAAACTGTCTGAGCTTTCTAATTTGAAACGATATTAGCGGCAGTTCACCAAAGTGTTTGTGGATGTGGGTTAACAAACAAAGATTGTTATTTATAGTTATACCACGACATTTGACAGAGTTCACCCTAAATAAAAAGATTGTTATGTATCACTGTACCGTCTGTCTGGAACGAAGATGCTTGCAAAATTATGTAAGCATTCAACAGGTTTGCCGGGCTAAAACTAAGCCCCGATTAAGGGAAAGATAATCGGTGAAGGAGCTTTGATTGGAAGAAGNTAGTTTGGCATCGATCAACATCATCTGGGCATTTTAAAAAACACATACAGGAGAAACACAAGGAATATCAAAAATAAATTTGAGAAGCCGAGAATTTGCGTGCTAACGGTTTAGACGTCTAACACATCACAATCTGAAAATGATCCCACATTCCAATTATTGTGGGATGATTAGGTTAGAAGGATGTCCGACGGCTGGNNGGCTGGTGTGGGAATGTGGCATTGAGATGGTCAACATCGAGAAGCGTCATGGTGGGTTTTGTGTGCACGTTACCTTTGTTTTCACAGTAAATTTAGTTGCGAGGAGCTTATCCTTCCGTTGGAGGAATACCGATTTTAACAGAGCAGCAATAAATATCAAATCGCATCCATTGCTTAAGTGGATAGGGAGACATGCGTGAATAGTGACGAAAAAGATGACGAAAACCATAAAAAGCTTTTCTAAGAGATTCATTGCGAGGAAAACATTTTAGGATGAGAAATTGCAAAAGTGAAATCTAATGTGGTCGCTGATGGGAGCTGGTGCTTTTATTGGTGGGTGGTGAGTCGTTACTCTGTCCAGTACACAATTATCTCTTGTGGGAGCGTAATAATAGAGGAGTATAAGTACTACACCTTTTTCCATCAAGCATTAGTTAAAACCCGCAATCCTTCAGCCTCGACCCGTAATCCTTTAGCCAAAACTCGAAATTCTTCAGCCAAAACCCGTAGTCCTTTAGCCCCAACGCACAAACTTTAGTAATGCTGCAGTAGACGAGTCAGATCAAAAGTA